CGCCTTGCTTGAAGCCAGATTACCTCACATATACCTCACATAGTACACTGTGTATCTTTTCTTTTTTCATCTTTCCATATTTTTTTCCTTTTTTTTCCTCTTTTCCTTTGTCACGTCGTTTATTTTCCTATACCAAGAAGTCAGAATAAGAATTGAAGAGGAGTATCATCGAAGTAGATCTAAAAGTTGGGGACGGGGCGCAGCGTTTTCCCTTGTGCTTTGTTGCTTGATTTAGGTACTGGCGGCTGTTATTATATATCAAAGCCGGTTGCTTACAGTTAATACCTTAGTACCAGTAGGAGAGAACAGAACATGCTCGCTTACTTTTGGTGCATTCAGTGTATGAATATTGATGCCCGAAGTGTTCAAGGCTCGCTGCACCTTGTCACGCCTACCGCATACCTTTGGAGACCTTGAGCATTCTTACCGACTGACCTCACTTTACCTTATCTGTATTCTTACTCCGTAATACCTTTTCTTAACCTGATGTAGATACTCCGTCACACCCCATGCTGGTAGTATGACTATCTTACCACTACGGCTAATGCAGAGGGGACTCCATTTTGACGCATATCGTACATGTCAATAATGCGTTCGTTTCGTGGTTGGGGATGGTCAAGTGGGACGCTTTCTGCATCACTAGCAAAGAATTGAAAGACGCAGCGGCACCGCCCCTCCTCTCAACATCATCGATAATTACTTCCACCTATTAGTATGTACCTTACCTTTTTCCTTTGGCGGTTTAATGGAATTGGGAGGATGGGGTTTCGGTTGGGGCTGTTTTGGGGTGAGATGGGTTTTGGAAGGATTTCTTTTTTATTGGCTGTCTGAACTTGCGATTTTCTAGATGTCGTTTTGGGAGGGTTGAAGTAAGTAGTATTGGTTTGGTTTGAAGGCTGTGTAATGCTCTAGTGAGAGAAGGCGAGGTAGTCATTACATTATATATTAGCTTGGTGCTGCGTTGGGTGTATAAGCATGGTTTTCATGTTCAACTGGATTCGTCGTCGTCGTCCTGCGCGTACAGGATTATCTGAATAGGTCTAAGGCGTTGAAGCAAAAGAAGTTGAAGCATTTGGAGTACTGAACTGCGTTGGACATCTAAGGTATTAAAGATTGACGTACCTCTCTAGCTTACCCGCCTTGTTTACTCCGTCTGGAACTCTCTTGCCGGTAGAAAAGAGAGCAGTTGGTAAGACGATTGGCGAGTTACTGAATGTGGGATTTCCATGGGCTTGGGCTGCATTGCTTAAATCTGGGATTGGTGGATAGAGGTTACCAATTTCTTTGAGGCAACATGGCTTTTGCGTCGATGATCTTGAGAATGCTTACTCCTGGGTTATTAGCCAAAGATTCCATGCATTTCTAGATGGTCAGATGAAGACAGCTTAATGACTGCCCGTCGTCGCTGACACTTTTTCCAAGGGAGTACACGGACCCGATACAACATTGTCCTCGATCTCCAAGGAGCCCTGTAGACTTCTTCTCTGAACCCGAGAAACATGCCTTGTTTGCGCTATATACTAGCACGAGACGACCTGAGAAAGGCATCAGGACAAGTCCGCGGCGGTTGCCCCTATGATTCCATTCCAGGGCTGAACGCTAAGCCTTGGGGAAGGCTACACATGGTCTTCTGTCTTCTCCCTTACTTGATTGAGCAGGGCAAAAGGCCAGTTGATGAGATATCTGCGGCCTTTGTGCGGCTCTCTCGTGTTTGGGAATGAGAGGTTTTAAAGCATATGCAGCTTCCTCGGAGCTGGATGCGATAAATATGATGATCATATGCCACTCACGACATCCTGATTTAGTTGTGTGTACCTTGGTCTCGAGGCATTGTAGCATGCTCTCGTTGTTGTAGGTGCCTATGAGAGAAGTCAGCAAAGGTAGATACTTCAATGTTATCGTGACGTGTTTTTCTCCTCTGTAATTATCTTGCGTGCATCTCCCACTCCACCGACTGCTCATTACTGGCGTGGTATAGCTCGGCCACCAGGCCTTGGAACAGCCAGACAGACGTGTAAAGGTCGCTTAACCACCTGGAGGATCCCTCCGTATCAAGTTCCATGCTATGCCACGTTTTGACGACATGGTGAAGAGGCGCTGCCTCAGTGGAAAGTCAACTTACCGATTCTGGGTCGTCAGGTCTGCCTGGCTACACAACGGGAGTGAGGCTGCAAAGCCCAGAAAAGCTTAACATAGGGTATATAAGACACATCGCTTGCACTCTTTCCAACCTTTGTTTTATTCCCCTCTTACAGGTACCCTGGGCTGCTTCTCCAAAGTCGTATCTAAGGCATGATTCATCATCTCGGGGGTCCTCAACTCAGGGATTGGGATATCCTGTTGCCAGATGAGAGTTACGTGGAGAGGTCGGAAGCTAAAGGTTTTCCCTACAGGAGACTTGAGGAGTTCAGTCAAAGGCTAAGTGAGCAATATGTCTCCTTACAGACCGGATGAGGTTATTCCTTTCTCCTCATCGTTAGAACTCGCGTAAAAGTCGTATGCGATGTTACTGAGGGTCCTCACCTCAGGTATTGGAAAATCCAACAAGAGCCTGAGGAGTCAGACAAATGGCTGAGCGGGGAAAGTCTCCTTCCGAGTGAGTTGAAGATGCTTCCTCATCATAAGTCGTAGCCTGGGGACCGCTGTCGTTGAGAATCCTCGCCTTAGGCTTGAGGGTATCTTGCTGCCAATGATGAAAATGGCTGAATGGGCACCGAGGCAGGGGATAATTCCCTGGCATTTGAAGGGAGGCGTTGGATATGGTGCTAAGATTACGAGATGGAACATTGGTTGAGACGTTGGGATTACAAACAGAGAAGTCCTGGCGCCATCAGAAGTTGGGTTGAGAGGACGATAGAGACAAGAGTTGGAGGGGGGAGTCCCAACAGAACAGAGCACCTGGCAGTCGCGGAATAAACTCGCTTTCTGCAATGCACTGGACAAGATGATGTCGAGAGATATTTGACAGGTAAAGTTCGAATTGCACCCGTCCAGCCGCTTATAGAACATCGGTTTGAACAGAGCGGTATGGAGGATTTACGACCAGTGCATCGGGCTTGCCGATGAAGCCGCCAATATCTTTTGCTTTCCATATCCTCACAAATGCCGCATGGACGATGACTTGCTTTCCTACATTGACACAAAGACAGTCAAGTGCTTTCCGGGATGTTGTCTGCTGTGTCTGGTTGGTTGTCCGTGTAAGTGTAGCGGATAGCGCCCTCGGAGCAACTCTATTGCTCATGATTGTCTATCCAATGTGATCGATGACCTCCAACCTGGCGAGGACAGGGAAGACGACCGGGCCAAAGACGCACAGCTGTTCATGAGATGCTATCCTCATATGCCGCATCATCAGTTTCCTTGGATAATAGAAAGAGGCAAGAAGCAGCCATGGGATTGTATGATTGACCACTTGTTGTACGAGGCCTCATGCGTAGTTGAGCGTAGTGCTTCGTAGAGGTAGGTATTGAAGTATAGACGAATTAGTACAGACTCGGAGTGTGCAGACATGTCGTTGTGTTCTTGATAAGCGCATTGACAGTCGCTCTGTGCACGCAAAGCTTTCATTCATGGTGTTGATGAGGGGAAGTGATGTGTCTTTGGGACAGGGGTTGAGACGTGGTATCAGAGACGGCTAGGACGACATCTTTGCTCGTCTGAGGTACAATTTCTCATTGAGTACGAGTATGCGGTATGTAACTTAGAAGACATGTTCATCCTCGGCTAGAGAAGGCAGCAATTCTGATGCTGCATGCTGCAGAGTCCGTGTGTGTGTTTTGTTGTTGCCTGGCTTACGAGTACGCGATGAAGGGGGGCTTGGGATATAAGCAGAGATTTGAAGGAGTCAGGCAGTGCTGGTAACTTCCGAGGCTCCACGCCGAAATCTGGCAGCCTTACAGCCCTTGTCCGATGCTGCTGCGCCACGTCACCACTTGATCACTGTGATTCTAGACTAATTCATTGAGCGTATTGTCCTGTGATGCCTCCGTGATGGTGATGGTGATGTTGAGTGCAAGTACAGGTACATGCAAGTGGCCACATGCACTCCGCAAAAGCGGTGTATTTGTACGGAGACAGCGTTGCACAGATGAACATCAGGGGGATTTGAGGCTCTGGGGGAGGCGGACAGGGTGGGGGGCGGGTGCTGAAGTAAGCAGGATCGAGGTCACGTGGTGGCGCCAAATTGGTTCAGGCGGAGAAACGGAGAGGCAGGAGGGAAAAGAAGGAAAGAAGGAACAAGGCGGATTGATATTTGCGTGTTGAAACGGGCCACTCAGCTGAAGGCAGCCTCGACAAGGAAAAAGCGACCTGAGACTGCAACACAGAAGCCGACAAAAAGGACCATCAGGCAACAGAATTACTAGACAACGGGACTGTTCATTGCATCGTGTCTATCATTTGTCTTCGTCTTATTGGTCTGCCTCGGGACGGGACTGTGGGCTCCTTTCCGGGTGGTATCTCTACAGCACTTGCTTCACCAGGGCCAGGAGTTCTCATGGGCATGGACATTTATATCTGCTGAGGAGCGCGAGCTTGACGGCGGCCTTTTGGCCTTTTCAGGGTACCTTGCTTTGGATCAGAGTATCGACTTTCCTTGGACGACGAGCGTTGCGACGATATCGGCTCTCATGACTGTCTTGTCGGCGCAGTGACGACTGTTCGGCATCTACCTCACCATCTATCTACGTGGCATCTGAAGCGATTTGACTCGGCATCTTTGTCATCTATTCCCTTGGCCAGCGACTGTTTAGTACCGAGGCCTCATCCGTGGATTGGATCTTCACTCTCGTCGGCCATATTCTGCAGCGGTGGGAGGAGAGTCGGACGAAGAGGGGCTCAGCAGGTCGGGTATTTCACATGAGTGGTGGTGTGCTCACCAGGAGCTAAACACCAGAGGAACCACCATATTCGAACAAGACGCCTACTACCACGATATCGCCGGAGCCTCATACTGAGATTGTACGTTATCGAGGGCACTGTGAGTCGGGATTGGCAAAGAGATGCAGAACCTCAGTCTGCCGGTGCGCACGAGCGCCAGCCGTCGCAATCAGGAGAGCAGGAGTTATTTTACGAGCTACACGCCGCCGAGCTCAACAGAGGCCATCAACGGGCCGGTCAGGGAGCCGACGAGGGAGCAGCCGCCGATGAGCGATCGGTTGATTGTGGGCGTGGATTTCGGCACAACGTTTTCAGGGTGAGTGATCTTATAAGATGAGATACGACAAGAAATGGATAGTCGAGACCGTGCTCTGATTCCATGCTGACGCTGTTAGTGTCGCTGCTGTCTATACATCAACTCCAGACGATGTTGAAATCATCAAGACGTGGCCGGGCGGCAACGGCATCACCTCAGACAAGGTCCCGACGGAGATTGCATACAGCTTCCCGCCCAACGCCACCCCCGACACCGAGCCCACGGTAAAATGGGGGTTCCAGTTCAAACCAGACGAGTCGCGGCTGCGGTGCATCAAGCTGTTCCTCGATCGCTCCCAGAAGCTTCCATTCTACGTCAGTCCGCTCGACACGGCGGCACAACTGAAAAAGTTCAACAAGAACGTCATGGACGCCGTCAGCGACTACCTTACCCAGATCTACAAGCACACCATGGACACCCTGACGCGGCGCTACGGAGAGTCCTTCATGGCGTCGACAAAGGTTGAGTTCGTCCTGACGTGCCCGGCGGTCTGGAGCGATGCGGCAAAGAACACGACGCTGCAGGCGGCTGAGCGGGCAGGCATGGGCAGCCGCTCCGAGATTCAGATGATTAGCGAGCCGGAGGCCGCGGCTATGTATACCCTCAAGGCGATCCAGCCGAACCACCTGAATGTTGGTGACAACTTCATCGTGTGCGATGCAGGCGGTGGAACTGTCGAGTGAGTTGACATCGAACTGATGTGTTATCAAGCAGAGCTAACGAGTATCCGCAAGTCTGATTGCCTACAAAATCATATCCCTGAAACCGCTACGGGTCGAAGAGTCTGCCGTGGGAACGGGCGGGCTGTGCGGAAGCGCCTTTCTAAACTACAGATTCGAGGAGCATGTTCGCACCAGGCTGGGCCAGGCCCGGTTCGACGAGATGAAGACGAAAAAGGGCAAGACGTGGCAGATGGGCCTGCGGTACTTTGAAGAATTTGTCAAGCGCAACTTTAACGAGGACGAGCACCAGGAGATTAATGTCCCGTAAGTGCCTGCTGTCTTGGTGCATCATCTGCAACTCTTGCTGATTGTTCCAGCTTCCCCGGTCTCCCGGATGACGAAGAGGCGGGTCTCGACTCAGGATTCATGGTCATGAGCGCAGAGCAGATCAAGGACATCTTTGAGCCAGTGGTCAAGGAAGTGTGCGATCTGGTGCAGGGCCAGGTGCAGGGCCTCCGAGCCAAGGGCGGCATCGTGTCGGGCATCGTGCTAGTGGGCGGCTTCGGGCAGAGCGACTATCTGTACCGGCGGCTCAAGGCGCACTTTTCGAGCGCGGCGCCGCCCCCGTACAGCGAGCGGCCGACACACGCCACCGCGAATACGCCGCAGGACGTCGGGTCGATCGAGGTGATGCAGCCGGTGTATGCATGGACGGCCGTGGTGCGCGGCGCGGTGCTCCGGGGCTTGGAGGGCAACATGGTCATCTCGCGCAAGTCGAGGATGCACTACGGCACGTCGTTTGCCACGGTGTACGACGAGGAGAAGCACTCAGTGAGCGAACGGTACTGGTCGCCGCTGTGGGAGCGGTGGATGGTGTCTGACCGGATGCAGTGGCACATTGCCAAGGTGAGTTTGATCGTGTCTTTGATTTGTTCTTGTTTGTGCTTTTGTCTTTTTCTTCTAGTTCTCTTGTTTCTGTCTATGTCTCTTCATGCCATGCTCGACTTATCCTCTGACTTCTCTCTCCTCCGCGTTCACCGCCCGCCTAATACTGACAATCTACAGGGCGAGTCGCTTTCTCCCCTATCGCCCATCGCCTTCCACTACACGCGCAACTTCCGGCCTGGCCAGTCGCTCATCGTGACCGACGACCTGATTGCGTGTGACGCCGACGAGCCGCCTGCGGCATACACAAGGGACCTGATCAACGTGTGCACGCTGACGACGGATCTCAACGCCGTGCCAAGGAGCCTATTCACCAGGCTGACGACGACGCGAGGGGTGGAATTCGACAACCTCGACTTTACGCTGGAGATGATTGTGGACAGTGCGGGATTGGGCTTTGAGCTCAAGGTGGACGGGGTGCGGTATGGACGGGTGGAGGCCGAGTTTCACTGATGGCGACTTAGACGTGTATTTGTACAGTATGTATATTCAAGCATGGCACACACCGAGATTCATCTGACTCTTTAGCGGTTGTCGAGACAGAGATGCAACCACTTTTCATCTGTCTTGTCTGTATGTCACTGCTGATTCCGGCTCGTAACTATTCCCGATTGCTCGTTAGCACGGCTCAGACTGAGCGGTAGCCGAGCTGGCAGCTAAAAGGGGGGGGGGGGGCAGGCAGGGCAACGGCGAAACCCCCAATACGAATTACGAGGCGGCAAATGGCGTCCAGCATCTGCCAGGCTGTCAACGACAAGCTGCTTATTAACGCCTCTCCAGCTTTGCTATTCCCGGGCTTGAGTCTGGATGTGCTGACATATGTAGTGTATCCATACGCGACCATCCAGGGTCTTGTCCTATTAGCTGTGCTGTGCTGCACTTCTCCCTATCTGGATTCGAAGACATGCCTGGCTTTACTTAGCGCCCAGCTTGAACTCTGCGACTTCAACTCACCTCACTCTCACTTCATCTCACAATTGCCATCGATTCCGCAGTTATAAATCCATAGCAGCCGAATCCATCTCATAAAACATTCGTCTCTTGCCATGAGCGAAAACAAGGGCCAGACACAGAAACGCTGTTGGAACTGTCGCCGTAGGCAGACCCGCCCTCTCCAAGTGCTCTTGAGTTGTTGTAACCCGCTAATCACTGACCCATTGCTTGCGGTTCGGAGCATGCAGAGCAAAAGATTGCCTGCGACAAGACACTGCCGCACTGCCGGAACTGCCTGAAAAAGGGTCGCCAGTGCCTGGGCTACGGGCTGAAGCTGTCGTGGCCGCGCAAGGGCGACCAGAGACGGTCCGCGTCGGCACGCAAGGAGCACTATATCATTCCCATCCGGACCGGCGATGCCAGTTTCATCAATGCGACGAGCGAGGACGTGAAGGCGTCGCAGGAGCAGGGTATGAGAGAGTGTGTGTGTGTGTTGTGAGTGGAAGACGTGTGGCTGACGTTGAAGCAGCGCTGAGTCGATATGATGCCACGACGTTTGGAGAGGTGTGGTTTACGCGACAGCCGCATTTCAACATGGCGAGACTGGATCCCTTCCTCGCTTCACACAGTAAGGCTGCTGCTGCTACTGCTGCTAACCCTTCTGCTTCCCCCAGATGAAGGGCGGGAAATAAGATGAATGAGTGCTGACCATGGAACTGTGCTGCAGCTTGGAGTCCGGTGGCCCGGCTGGTGTCGTCCAGCCAGAGCTGCGACGACCTCTACGGACTGCTGGTCAGGATGTCGTTCCAGGACGAGACCCTTCCGTCTCTGGCGTCGAGATACGCCATCAGCGCGCTGTCGTACCAGCACCTGGCCATGGACAAGACGGCCGTGATGCACCAGACGAGGGCGATCCGGGCCCTGCAGACGGCCATTGAGACGGCGGCTCCCTCGGAGTGCATGCAGTTGATGGCGGCAAGCATGCTGCTGAACATTTTTGAGGTTTGTTCATCACGAAAGAGAACGAGGTTTCACCGCTCAATGGCACTGACACCATCAACTGGACATAGACGCTCAACTTTGAGACGTCGGATCTCAGCTGGTCCATCTTCTTCTGCGGCACAAAACGGATCGTCAATCTTGTGACCAAGACGGACGACACGTTTTTTGGCGACGAGGCGCTCATCATTGACTGGATCTTTTACCACGACGTCATGTACAAGTTTAGTATTCGGCACTGGCGCGAGAAGAACAAGGATCAGATCCAGCTGGCGTCGCAGAGAAAGGTGCTGTCCAAGGCGGTGTTTTCGCCCGAGAGACAAGTTGTGCGTTCTATTCTCATTCCCTCTCCCTTCTTCTGTCCAAGTCAGGCAGGACGAGAGTTGCCATACTGACTCAGTTGCACAGATTGCCCCCATCCTGGGCTGCTCCCTGGAGCTCCTTGACCTCCTCTGCCAAACCATCGACGCCGTCCACGAGCCCGGCGACCCTGATTACCAATCCGAATCGCACCTCAAGCTGGTCCGCTCCTTAGAGATCCGCCTGAAATACCTGCAGCAGCGGCAGTCCTCCGTCGCCCCGTTCGACAGCCCCGAATCGACGCAGGAGACCACCGTCGCTGAGCTCTACCGCCAGGCCGCCATCATCTACCTGCTGCGCATGGCCAAGGGCGAGCCCGAGAGCGCAAAGTGCGTGCTGCAGGCGGTCGACCAGGCGTACGAGACGCTCAACCGGCTCGAGTACTGCGAGCGGCCGTGGCCGCTGTTCGTCATCGCGCTCGAGGCGCGGTCGGAGGAGCACCGCAGGGACATGCTGCGCGTGCTCAAGGGGTCGCTGGCGCGGCGGCCGCTGGGGTCCATGGCGCTGGTCAACAGGATGATTCCGGACGCGTGGACGCAGCAGGACCTTCGCGAGTCGGTGGACCCGTTTACGCTTTACGGGATGATTATCAGTCGCCACCGGGTGCCGCCGTGCTTTACATAGGGGGGTGGGGTTTTCGAACAACATTGGAAGGATTTTGGGTTTTTGCGTGCAACAGATAGTGTGCTGTATTCTTGTTGGTGTTTTGTTGGGGGGGCTCTTTGAAGAGGTATGCAATGCTATGCTAGAGTCTAATTACAACCTTATTATCGGACAGAAAATCCAAAACCTTCTCTTCTTTTGCCCGTGCTGACTCTACAATCAAACGTCTCTCATACCGTCTATCTCAAAATAAAGTAAGAAACAAAATGTGGATATGCCAAAGACGAGGAATAAAGGAGAGAATCACGAAAAGAAAGGGAGAGGAGTCCAAAAGAGAGACTGTCACCAACCAGCCTCCGTCATGCAGTATATGTGAAAGAAAACACGAGGAGAGGGGACAATAAAAGGCAAACTGAAACCCATCTCGCGACAAAAGTCTGGACATTATTGACATGAATCCTCATAACAGCTCATGCTGTCTTCTTTTTTTGTTCATTTTGCTGTATCCCCCCCCCCCTTACGCAGCACCAACGACAATCTCGCCAAACAGCTTCTCGCGCTTCATCAGCAGCGCAGCAATGAGATGAACGCCACCGCCGACGCAAACGAGGATAAAGGCCTTTTTCATGGCGTCTGTGATGGCCAGGATGGCCGCGTCCCTGAGACTGCCCGTAATCTCCTCAAAGATGCGGCTCTGGGCGCCGGCGATGGCGCTCTGGATGTCCGCGGCGGAGAAGTCGGTGTCGGCCAGCGCGGCGGAGAGGTTCTTGGTGGCCTCGGACTGGAAGACCTGGCCGGCGATGACGAGGGCGATGACGGTGGCGCCGATCTGGGAGACGTTCTGCAGGGCGAGGGCGTCGCCGGCGCGGTGGTCGGGGACCTTGAGGGAGGCGACGGCGTAGCCGATCTGGAGGGTGAGGCCGGTGCCGACGGCGGTGAGGACGGTGAAGCCGTAGATGTAGGAGACGGGGGTGTCCGGGCCGAGGTAGGCGGTGAGGAGGCTGCCGCCGAGGGTGATGAAGAAGCCGGCGACGGCGAAGAGGGGCATGTAGTAGCGGATGCGGGCGAGCAGGTGGCCGGCGGCGAGGTTGAGGCTGACGGTGAGGACGACGAAGGGCAGCAGGCGGACGGCGGCCTCGATGGCGGAGTCGCCGTGGACGAACTGGAAGTAGATGGGGATGAAGTAGACGATGACGAAGAGGGAGGTGACGTTGGACGAGGTGGCGACGTAGAGCAGGACCTGGGAGCGGGAGCGCAGCAGGGGCACGGGGAACGAGCGCATCTCGGGCGTCGTGAGGATGCAGAGGCCCTGCTGGAGGGCGTAGCAGGTGACGACGACGGCGAAGGCGACGATGGTGCCGATGGTGCGGCCGTCGCCCCAGGCCCACTGGCCACCGGCCATGGTGAAGGCCATGCAGAAGGAGACCCAGGTGCCGATGCCGAGCAGCACGCCGAGGAAGTCAATCCTCCTGATGCGCTCGAGGACGGGCACGCCGACGACGGGGTGGACGGCGGGAAGGCCAAAGACGTAGACGGGGGCGAAGGCGCCGCCGACGATGAGGTTGATGTAAAAGGCCCAGCGCCAGGTCGCGCTCGACTCGACAAAGGAGCCGCCGATGACGGGGCCCAGGACGGCGCCGATGCCCCAGCAGAAGCCCGTGCCGGTGATGTAGACGCCGCGCTCGCGGGGGGTCGTCAGGGCGGTGAAGTAGTTGAGGCAGCCCATGAAGACGCCGCTGCCGCCGGAGCCGGCGATGACGCGGCCGACGATGAGGGCCGTCATCGTGGGCGCGGCGCCGCAGACCGCGGAGCCGACCTCGAAGAGGACCATGGAGGCGGCGAAGACCCATTTCATGTTGAAGTTTGCGTAGAGCACGCCGTAGAGCAGGATGACGGAGACGGAGCCCAGGGGGAAGCCGGCGCCGATCCAGGCCAGCTGCTCGACGTGGCCAAATGCCTCGACGACGGAGCCCTGGACGTCGGCCGCGATGGTGGTGTCGAGGCCGTAGATGAAGATGGAGATGTAGAGGGCGACGCAGATGAGGAGCCAGCGGAAGCCGCGGACGTCGCGGCGGGCGGCGGCTGGTTCTGCTGGTGATTCTTGCGCTTCTTCATTGAAGGGGGGCGTGGGCGGCGTTGAGGGTCGGGGGGAGTCTTCGTCGGAGGCGGAGGAGGAGGGGAGGTTTGCTTCTTTTTCGGGGTCTGTCGTTGGAGGGGGGAGGTTGTGGGAGACTGTTGAGACGGTCATGTTGGATAGGGGGGGTGGCCTGAGGCCGATGTCGTATGGTGTCGAGTTGCTGGCGATGTCTGGGAGTTGATGATGTCGAGTTGTTGGTGATGGCTGATATTGATTTTGGTTCAGCGTTTGATTGTTGCTTCGACTCGAGGTTTGATATACGGATTCGAGATGGCTTTCGAGGTTGAATATATGGATTCGAGATGACTCCGGGATAATGAGTACGATTCGCGATTCCTTCAAGAACACTTATATATAAGGATGATGACTATATATACAAGCAGATATGAATCGAGACCGTAGTCAACAGACGATGCTCCTTGAAAGCAGGTATATATAGGTCGTCAACAAGCAACAAGCATGAAGAATGGCAAACAAGCTCAAACAAGAGGGTACGAGCCCTTTAAGCAGCGCGAATGGAACAAGCCAAGCATCATTAAAGACATCACTCAATCGACAGAAATCTTCGGATCTCAAGAGCCGTAGAATTTGTAAGCTCCGAGACGACCCTGCACGTATATACTGAGGAAGCCATTTCCGATTGGAAATCGACTCGGTAAGGGCTCCATAAGAGCATCCATGACAGCTGGGGGGGCGTGTACTCGTGAAAGAAAAGATTGGAAATGGGGGACTGGTGGTGGGCTGTAGACCATCATCAATAATAGTACTAGGAAGGGCGCCCCCCCCCTACGGATCAAGATATGCTTAAAACCACAAGCCCGGCTTCACGATACCGAAGCCCCGCCAGGAGGCCAATCAGAAGTTGCAAAGATGGGATGCCGGGCTGCGGCTCCACAGGGGTTTGGGTGAGGATCTATTTGCGAGGAGGTGGAGGGCTAGGACTGATGGGGAAGTAGGTGGGTGGTGGGCGAGAGAGTGTACGGCAGTAGTAGTAGTAGTAGTAATAGCAAATAGTTGCCTTTGGCGTTGCGTCTTGGAAGAGGGCTGAGATAGGGTGCTTTAGGGGGGAGAGTTTTTGCGACTTGGAGGTTGTGTTGGAGTTGATGGATGGTGATGTTGTGGCTATATCTGGAGGGTTTTCCGCCAATTCTTTCTGCCTTTTGAGGTTGTTGGAGATGCGATTCTATGTTCTGAGTCTCTGGATTTCGCTTTGGGGAGACGAGCACCGATGAGACTCCAAGCACTGTGAAACTACCCACCCATTCATTATACTACATGCTCCATCGCGATACCCTCACCACGTGCTTCGCATTCGCTTCCTTCAATCCAATCCTAGTCTTTTTTACCCTTTTCTCTCCGTGAGTCATCTTGTTCTCCCTCGAATCTCTATCATATCGCCGGTCTTTTCGGACTTTATCAAGACAAGTCTACTTGCATTCGGCTCTCGGCTCCACCCGTTTCGGCCTGAAAGCTTGTCGAACGGCTGAAATAAGCTGCTGCACAAAGCTTTGAGCCGCGTTTTTCTTAGTTTTTGTTGACGGGCTTGGCGTGCTGGCTGGAGACGGGGATAGTTTCCCATGTTTTCCATCTACTAGTTCATAGATTTGTTACTTGTGACAGATTGTAGGAGAGGATGGATTTCTACGGATTACTCGTAGATTCTTCTCTTCCTTACTTGTTGAGTGCCACTGTGGGGAGGGCTGCTTTGTGGGTTTTCCTACAGCTCTTTTCTGATGGTCATCTTTTTCCCTGCCTTTGTACTTTCGTACTCGTATACCAGAACACCTCTATCCCGTGTGGGAAGTACATACATGGCCTTTCACACGAGGACTTCAGGATTACTCCAAACGGATATCCGCAAAACACCGGAATAAGACGACAAAAAAAAAAGGCGTCATCAAGTTCGGATCCTTCCTTTGCGTTCTCGCTTCTTAATTACGGCTTAGCCATCATTCTTTCGACTCGTATATTCGGACTCCCGTTTGATGATTAATTGAACCCAATTCCGTGAGCGGGTTACAGACAAGAGGTGATGTGTGTGTGTCTGCGTACTTTGTCGAAATGAAGTCATGTCAAGATAAGAAGAACAAGGACGAATCAGATGGAATTAGAACCCCAAAAAGAGCCCACTTGAAGAAAAGAGATTTTTTTTCCAGATCCATTGGGAGGGTTTTTGCTGTCATTGCGCCTGGACACCGTTTGCCGTTTTCCGGCAACAGAGACACCATTTGCCATTTTGGGATGGTACTGTGATACTGTCTGTTTACCCACCTCTGCTGCCGCGATTGTAAATACCATCTACGCCCTTGGATCTGTCTAATCTCTGTGAGAATATTGGCCCTGTAAGCTCGGTCAGTACATAGTACTCGTATATGTGAGATGTGACATGTGATAGGACGATGGGTATGTGATGTGAACTTGGCGGGTCTGAGGCTCATGGAGCAAATGTGGTTTATAGTATTAGTCTCGCTCTTTTTTGTCTTCTTGCTGGGCGTCTTTGGTAACGACATCCAAGCCAGACTCTCTTTATCATTTCAATCTGTGCCATAATGGACACCTTACTGTGTAGTGTCCAAGTCGGAGATGCGAATGTCACCAACTCGAACCAGCCTCGCACACAAAGTACTTTGTCCAAGAGGACAAAGACAGAAACATGACGCCTCGCCAATTGCGTCTCAGCTCACCACCTGCTAAGCCGTCTCTTCTACGCCCACTATGAAGCCACGCTAAATACAAGTACCGCACTAACACACATGAACATGCCTCTCAGCTCCCAGGAGTATTGTTAGTGCGGGGAGAAAATTTGATGCGCAACGGTTCCTTTCTGGAAAATCAAACAACCGCATATGCAACGGATTTGCGCGTCGTCTGCCGTGTCATTGGCGGAGCATCTTGTCTTTGCGCGCTGTTGGTGACTTCATCTCAGCCTCGTCTTTCTATCCCTGTTGCTAGGCCTGAAGTAGGCAGGCTGTGGTTGAGTGGAAAAGGAGTTTGGAGACATCGGGCCGTTCGTGATAGCCTCGCCTCGCTCACCCTCAGCCTTGGTCACTCAACGTCAACTCGCCTCTCACCTCGTCTTACCTAATCTCATCTCATCTCACCCGGCCTCACCTATACTCGCCTCGTCTCACTCACCCCCATGAGATAAGAACAAACAAACAAAAAAAAAAACATCATCACCATCACCATCAACCCCCTCAACACCATGGCCTCCGACGACCGCATCGCCCTCCTCCTCTCCTGGGCCTCCTCCAACGCCGCCACCCTCCACCCCTCGGTCCAGATCTACGACGACCCAACCACCGGCCTCTCCTTCCGCGTCCATCCCTTCTCACCCTCCCCCATCCCCCCTTACGAGCCCATCGTCAGCCTCCCGACGCACCTCTCCCTGTCCTACCTCAACGCCATCCACCCCGCGCCCGCCTTCCCCAAGTCCTTCCTCGCCAGGGCCCCGCCCCACGTCGTCGGCCGCCTCCTCCTCGTCAAGGAGCTCCTCCGCGGGCCCGAGTCCTTCTGGTACCCGTACATCCAGGCCCTGCCGCAGCCCGAGGACGTCGACGACTGGGCCCTGCCGCCGCTGTGGCCCGAGGAGGAGGCCGAGCTGCTCGAGGGCACAAACGTCGAGATCGGCCTGGACAAGATCCGCGAGGACCTGGGGCGCGAGTTCCGCGACGCGCAGAAGCTGCTGCTCGCGTCCAACGAGGACGCCGAGGACGACTTCAGCAACCTGCTCACCCGCGAGCTGTACCAGTGGGCCTACTGCGTCTTCTCCAGCCGCTCCTTCAGGCCGTCCCTCGTGCTGTCGCGGGAGCAGCAGCAGGCTCTCCCGCCGGGGGTGTCCGTCAACGACTTTTCCGTGCTGCTGCCGCTGTTCGACATTGGGAACCACGACATGACGGTCCACGTGCGCTGGGACGTCACTGCTCCCGGTGACGCTTCAGCCGGAGGAGGCGAGGCATCAGCCGTCCAGCTCAAGGTCGGCAGGGAACACAAGCCAGGAGAGCAAATCTTCAACAACTACAGCCCCAAGACCAACGCCGAGCTGCTCCTGGGCTACGGCTTCATGCTCCCCATCACGGAGTCCCTGCACAACGACTACATCCACGTCCGCAAGCGCACAGCGCCGTCTCAGCCTTCGCCCTCGTCGCCATCTCAGCCGGGAAGCACCTCGCCCGACGAATACCTCATCTCCCTCCGCCCCATCTCCCACCCGTCCTCCCTCCTCGCCGCCTCCAAGCAGACGCTCGCCGTCTTCCCGCCGGGCCTCCTCGGCGCCTTCACGCACGTCCAGCACGACATGGTCTGGGACATCTTCCTCACCCTGCTGCAGCACTCGTCCGTGCCGCTCATCAAGCTCATCCCGCTCGACAAGAACACCTTTCCGTCCGAGGAGGAGGCCGTGCGGCAGCGCCAGGAAAAGTTCTTTTCCGGACGGGTCAACGACGAGTGCCGCGATTTCCTGGAGCAGACGGTCGCCATTATCCAGCACAAGGTCCTGCAGGAGCTGGAGCGGCTCAACGAGACGGACATGGAGGTCGTGGGCGAGGACGCGGCGCTGCTCTCGCCGAATCAGCGGCTTGCGCTCGAGTACAGGGAGAGGTGTAGGATGGTGTTGGAGAATACACTTACGGCGATGGGGGAGGACGAGTTCATGCAGGATGATGATGATGAGGGGAGCGATACGGTGTGAAAGCTTGGGTGGTGAGGGATATGTATACGCACGAGTTATGAGTCATGACGTTGGATGTAGAATGAAAAGGGCGTGGATGTAGACGCATACATAGATCTATCTATGTCTCTATATCTAGTAATTATTCGTTGAAGCATTATACCACGTGTTGTTGAAGCACCCCCTTCTAAGGACTCGTAAAAAGCAAACATGGCGTATCAAACACGAATCATGACTGGTCAAGCGCATCCTTGAGCTCGGCCTGCAGCAGCGCCTCCTCCAGCGGAATCTCCTTGAGCGCGACAATCTTGGTCTTTTTGACGTACTTCCATATCAGATACGCCGCCAGCACCAGCGGAATGTCCCTGTCCCTCACTTGTCAGCTAAAACAAAATAACGGTTTTGAAAAGTCAGGGGTCCACATACAAATAGGAGGACACAAAGCCGCTGGCACTCCAGTTGCCCTTTGTGAAAACGTAGAAGCCGTTGGTGAGGAGAATGATGGTGCACATGAAGAGCGCCGCGGCAGAGCTGTACACTAATCATGCTCGTCAGTACACATTTTCTCGTCGTGAGATGGGTAGGTAGGGATAGATGGAGAGTAAGCCTACAGGTCCAGCTGTTGTGCCAGGGCAGCCGCTGGTACGGAATGCCCTGCACCTTGAGCGCCATCCGCAGCCGCACGTGGTTGAGCACGATGCAGATCCAGCTCACCAGGACGCCCGCGCCCACCAGGTCCATGAGCCAGAAAAAGACGGTCAGCGCGCCGCCGCTCAGGCTCATAAAGGCCAGGAACGAGAAGACGATGAAGAGGCTGACGGCCACGTACGGCACGCCCCACGACGTCGTGCGCAGGAAGATCTTGGGCGCCTGCCGCTTGAGGGCCAGGCCGTAGAGGACGCGGGTGCCGGACAGCAGCGCCTGGTTGGACGACGACCACGCGGACGTGATGACGATGGCGTTGATGACGGACGGCACGGCCGGGTAGCCCGCGGCGGACACGGCAATGACAAAGGGGCTCTGCGCGGCGGTGCCCGACTCGTCGCTGAGCCGCTCGTCGTCGGAGCTGACAATCATGCCGACGATGAGGATGGCCAGCATGTAGAAGAGGATGATGCGGACAAAGACGTTGCGGCACGCCCGGGGGATGGCCCTGCGCGGGTTCGCCGTCTCGGCGCCCGCCATGGCCAGCGACTCGACGCCCGCAAAGGAGAAGACGGCGCCGGTCATGACGCTCCAGTAGCCCAGGAAGCGGCCCCAGTTGCCCGTCGCGATGTACTCGACAAAGGGGCCCGGGTGCTTCCAGAAGCGAAAGTAGGTCGGCGCGACGCCCGGGATGCCGCCCAGGTCGATGACGAGCCCGAAGATGATGAGGAAGACGACCATGAGGATCTTGAGCGTCGCGAACAAGGCCTCGATCTCGCCGAAATAGCGCACGCCCGAGAAGCCCACGGCGGCCGTCAGCAGGATGAAGACGATGATCCACACGCTCGGGTTGAGGTCCGGCAGCCAGTAGGCGAACAGCACGCAGATGGCCGTGATCTCGCTCGGGATGGACAGCAGGTTGCCGTAGACCAGGTTCCAGCCGACGGCGAAGCCCAGCGCCGGGTCGACCAGCACCTCGGCGTGCCGCACGAACGAGCCCGTCACCTATCACCACGGCAAACATAAGTACGACACGTCTATCACGGAGCGTATCTTGCGAAACTCACTGGGAAAAGCGCCGACACCTCGCCCAGCGCAAACTGCACGGCGCTGACGACCAGCCCGACGGTGCCGTAGCCCAGCAGCGCTCCCAACGGTCCGCCCGTCTGCACCGCGCCGCCGAGCCCCAGAAACAGCCCCGTGCCGATGGCGCCGGCGATGCCCAGCATGGACAGGTGCCGCTCCTTGAGCCCGCGCTTGAGGTCGCGCTCCTCGGTGGCGGTGACGAGGTCGCCGTCCAGGTCGCCGAGGCCCTTGACGGGATCGCCGTCGGCCAGCAGGTGCGACGGCGCCCGCTCAATGTCCACATCGGCGGCGATCTTGGTGACGGAGGCATCTTTCCCGTGGCCGTAGTCGGAGCTCGTGGTGTTGTATCCCGGGGCTGGGCCGTTTCCGCCGGCAGAGCGATCAATCAGCGGCGACATGGCGGATGGGGTTCGCGGCTGTGTCCCGCTCGACATGCCCTGGTTGTACTGTACTTCGTCTTCGTTGATCTCTTTCTTGTCTCGGTGTCCTGGATCAATCTCCCCTCTTCCAATGACGCTCTCCTCCCGCTGTTGGCAAATAGCGATGGCAGACCAAATCGAAGTTCCTCTTGTCAGTCTGTATGTCTCCAGTCTCTCGTCCTGTAGGCTTCACGCGGCTCTCGTCTTCCAGTCTTTGGTCTTCTGCCTCGCCCAGCTGAAGCAGAATCAGAAGAAGAAAAAAGACAAAAACAGCCCGCCCGTCATCGCGTCCCTCCCGCCTCGGCCAGCGCCAGCCTCATATAACGAAAAAGTTAATCGTCCGCACCCTCCAGACGCGGCTTAGTGTAGCCATTTGCTCGTTAGCACTGATATCGCAATCGGGCCCCTGGCTCACCCAATCTGGCTGCGTCGTACAGAGTACCAGCCGGTGAATCTGACAAGCTCCACAGGCGTCTGCCTCTGTGCCATTTTGGTTGCTTTGGGCAGCTCGACAGGGAATGGAAACTTTGCAAGTTGAGAGCTGGTGTTTGTTTGGTCTGACTGAAGAGGAGAGACTGAGTTGAAGTGCTTCCAAGCTGGTTTGACTCATGGATGCTTCTGCCTCAGGCTTCGAGTACCTCTCCAGTGGCACCAGACTCCCTGAGCTGTCAAATTTAGCGCACCTGGGCAGTTGTAGCGCCCTGTCAAGCCCCCGAGTCAAATTATCTCCAGCGCCATCAGAGGAGCTACCTAATCCGGCAACAGAACCTTGCCGCTGGACCTCAACTACATGTAAGGTACATGTACTGATCCTGAACTTAGAATCGCGCTATATAAGAGGAAGCTTCTATTTCTCCAGCGAATCTACTACCTGTTTCCTCTGGTTGGCCGATATGTGTTAATAGTCAGGCCTGCCTACCTTCATGGATTGTCAGCTTCTATCAGGCCCACCTCCTCCAACACTCAGTGCAGCTCCATACCTACATACCTACCTGCTTACATATAGACAAAGATGTCCCTCCTCCGCGTCTCCTGCGATAGCTCCAGGCTTCCTTTACATCTATAACTGACACAAAATCCATTCAGCAAATCGCGATTGTTGAATCAGTCTGCCAGGTTTCAATCCATCAAGGCTTTTGTTAAACCTCAGGAAGCACTGCACATAGGGTACAGCAAGAGAACACCAAGGCCAAGTAACCCCTTCAAACGAGGACCTATTCCGTACCCTCACCACGACCCCAAGCATATCCCCGGTTCTGGTTAACCGCCCTGCCTTGAATCGCACTCGTGCCTGTACGCACCGGCTTCTTCCTGCCACTGCTCGTCTTCATGCTCATCTCCGTCTCCGTATCCTGGCTCTGGCTCTAGTTCTGGCTCATCTCCATACTCGCCTTCGTCGTTGTGCTGCTCATTGTCAGTGGTTGGCATGGAATCACTTATAGATGGGGAACTTACGCTTTTTGCCTCTGCTCCTTTATTGCTCCTCAGACCCCTTGGAGCCCTGTTCTCGCTCTGAAAGCGACCGGTTTGCACCCGAGCTCGCTCTGTTGGTTCATACATGTGATCAAGATACTCCTCCCTCGAACTCCGTGAGGACCTCTGCTGCTGCGGAGCACCACGACCAGCGCCCCCAGAATACATCCGCTGCGATGGCTGTCTAATCTCTCCTCGTCGAGACCGCGCCCCTTGCTGCTGCAATCCAGCCGCAGCGCCGCCGGCAGACGGATGCTTTCGGTGAAGATGTTGCTGGTCATAATAAACCGCGGGCCCAGACGGGTTGAAGCCCTCAAAGCGCGCCATCTCATATGCCTCGTCATCGTCAAAGTCATCCCGCTCGCCAGCCATCCTCGCCATTGTATCAGCATCCGCTCGACGCACTCGCTTCATGTAATCGTCGAATTCGTCGGTTGTTTTGCCTACTGTTCGGAAGTGATCTGCTGTAAGCACCACGATATCTGCACTACCTCCCCCTCCTCCTCCTCCATCACCATCACCGTCTCCCTCACCGCGGCTGTTGTCGAGTTGGCTCTCGTATATGGCAAGACAGGTGGCGACGTGCACTGCATTACGTATCTGGCGTCCGTTCCATGGCCCTCGTTCTCGATTATGTGTTTTGGCGTACTTGTGCCATTCTTGGCGAATGTAAGAGCGGATTTCGTGGTCCCTCACAATCATCCGGGGTTCCTCTACTCCTCCTTCTGACACAATACCACCAACGGCGTCATTGCTATTACCATTGTTGGCGGACTTGGGGTGGCGGCGAGGGAGACGCCCGAGGTGCGTGTCAAGAATGGCGATTGTGTCTTCGCAGTCGAGGTACTTGTAGTTTAGACTGATGTGGATTCGAGAGCGGAATGCTTCATCGATTGCGCCGACGCGGTTCGTTGTCAAGAAGAGGATGCCGCTGTAGTACTCCAACACTCTGAGAAAGACTATAAGTCATCACATCCCATCAGCCACCAGTCAGCATGCACAGATTCAGGGGGCAAAGGCAACACGAAGCCATACCCGAGACGAGCGCGTTCCGCTGGATGTCCGTAACATTTCTCCTGGTCAAAAACACATCCGCCTCATCCAGCAACAAGATACAATCCCACAGGTGCGCGTACCGAAAGATATCCTTGAGCGACTGTTCCACCTTGTCCGGCGTAAACCCCAAATCTCCACACGTAATGGGAAACAGGGGCTTCTTGTTCTCTAGAGCGACCGCCTCCGCTGTGAGTGTCTTGCCCGTCCCTGGCGGGCCGTGGAGGAGGAGTATGAGGCCGTTGCCTTTGCCACGGACGATGTCGACGCCGTGGCTGGTGGTGCGGTGGCTTCGTTCGCGGTGGCGCTTCTGGAAGTGCGCTGCCACGGCGGATTTGATGATGCGCTTATGCTCGGGGGGCATCTGAACGACGTCTAGGCTGGCCTTTTCGGTCGCGCGGTTGGTTTCAAAGTTCATGACGTCGAGGATGGCGAATTTGCGTTCGCGGAGGACGTAGCCCGGGACGCGCTTTGGGAGGATGGCGAGATCTTGGCCTGTGAAGTCCGCGCCTGCGCTGTTTCCGTTGCTTGTGAGAAACTTGTCTCGCTTCTCTATTTCTTGCCAGGTCTTACGATGTACCGCATCTTCTCTGTAGAAAAGATTCTCCTGACCCTCGTGGTGTTCCCGGCCTCCGAGTGTTCGCCAGATTCTGTACTCTGGCCAATCTGCTGCATCCCCAGCCTCAGCCTCATACGGTTTCTCATCCTCACACGGATGCTCATCCAGCCGTCCGTCCCCAGTTTCAAAGAATGCAGAAGGGAGGTGTCGTAGCCCTTCTTTGAAGTCGATGATGACTTCGCTCTCAACATGTTCCGGCTCTGGAATCTTGCCACCATCGTATGAGTTCGGCAAGGTACCCGTCACAAGGGTCCAGCCAGAGTAGTAAATGTCGCGAATGCCAACCTCGACGCACTTCCTAAACTTCTCGCCCTCGGCAATCCGATGTGCCAACAGGCTCTCGCAATCGGGGTGGAACTTCAGGGGGTAGCACGGCAGCTCGGTAATACTCGCGAGGCCGTCGAAATGGGGAAACTGAATCTTCCTCCGCAAAGCCCTGTAGCTTCCATCCTGGTAGTCTAGGCAGTAAACGGACCAGAAAACGTTTCCTTTGCTCCGGCAGCTGTCGCGCGTGCTGCAGACCATCCTAAAAACAGTTTGGATGCCCGAGTTGGGGTTGTTGCGGATTTCGACTGGTGGCCGAACGTATGCGAGTTCTCCTGCTTTGAAAAGGAGAGGGATGTCGCTATAAGAAACGGCTCGTGGGGTTTTATCGCTGACTTTGTCGAACTGCTTCCATAGAGGCATGATATAGGAATCGACGAACTCGATGTAGAGTTGCAGTTCTTCCACGGCGCGCTTCTTGAGAGCTCGGTCACTGACTTCCTTGCCAGGCTGCGGTGCTGCAGTCTCAGATCTATCAGATCCAGATCCCGTTTTTTCAAGTCGCCGCTGGAGCACAGAAAGTCTCCTCTTCATATCTTTCTGACAATAAAAGAAAGAAGTGAACGGTCTGGGAAAAAGAAACTGTTTCCCAGCCAACGACTTGTCCGACGCCATCCTCGAGTACCCTCCAAACTCGATTATAGCCCTCACGACCGACGCAGAGCGTATCCTCACCATCGATATGCGTTCTGTAATCCCCAACTTATTCGCCGGCAATGATGTCTGCGGACCGCAGCCTCTGTGATTGACGTCGTCTGGAAGCATCTCACCATCTCTTCGGTTCTCAATACGGCGTCGGCGGGCATATTCCAACCTACTGCCGTTTTCGACAGCATCGAAGGAGCCGACGAGAGCTTCAATTGCGAAGTCGCCTTCATCCTTGACCACTCGGTTGTAGAAGCCCCTGGTGTCGTAAAAGCGGACGCCGATGGCTACATCTCGTGCTTGCTCTTCAGGCAGTGAGGCTGGATCAATAGTAGAAGCAGTAGTAGATGAGTCGTAACCTGCTCCATGGAAGGGCTCGTGAGGATCTTCGTCAGGTTCTCTGGGAGATCCTTCTTTGAATTCTTCAGAAGGTTCTCCGTAGGGTTTTTGGAAACGTCTTTTCCAAGTTCTTGCATAGGGCCGTCTACGAGGTCCTCTGTAGGTGTATTCGTCTACAGGTTTGTCTCTGGGTTCGTCTGCTGGCTCTTCGGCTGGTTCATCTTGGAATTCGTGTGCTTCGTCGTTGGGTTGAGCTCCTCGACTGTCATTGACGGTGTCAGAGTCGTCGGACTGTTCGGGCTCATTCATGGATGCATTTTCCGTGGCCAATTGGGTAAGGTCAACGGCCTGCATCGCAAAATATGGATTGATGCGAGTATCGACTAACGAATGAAGGTAGAAGGTGAACAAGAACGGGTCGAAGCTGTATCCGGGGCTCAGTGCCGTGGCATCATCCGTTATTGAGCTGGCAAAGGAGTCTCCCGCCAGGACAAAGACCTGCTTGTGCGTGAGTAGAGTTTCGTTTTGGTCAGGTATAGAATTCCCACAGGAATCACAATGTATATAGACTCAATGGCTCTATGGGAAAGCGCGCCTTGACAGGCGAAACCGGAAGTTCGGGCACACATACGATAAAGGTACCTTAACATGTTTGGCACATGTACTTTGTGCGTCACCCCGAGCCCACGATTGGTCACTCCATCGGGCTTCCGTCGAACAGCCTTTCAGGATGGATCTTTGGGGCTCAGTTGGCAGCTGAAATTGTCACACCATCCAGTAGACGACGAGCGTTTGGGCAAGCCGCGTCCAACGTCCTGCACCTCAGCCTCAGTGGGGTTGCATCAACAGCCATCAGGCCCAACCTCTGAGCCTGATGATACTCTGGATTGGTCAAGGTAGGTCACGATTGCATTCTTCAAACAGGGTCTCTATATGTCTGCTTTGAATGGTGATTTGAATACTTCATCACTCTTCTTTGATTTCTCGGTAAATCGAAATGGAGCAGAGCAAAGGAGCACCAATTCTCAAAAAAACTCTCACGAAAAGCCCGCCATGAGTCAGGGAAGCACCCAGACAGCATCCAAAACGCCCAAGAATTCTTCCTCAAGCGAGGCAAAACGATTCATCCAGCACTCAGCGAGCCCACACAGTTTGTCGACTGGGAATTCAAGGCCGAGGAACGTCTCGCGCTCGAGTAAGCTCCCATAATTGTCCCAACTCTCATCACTGAAACAGAAGAGAGAGTTAATCGGAGAATGGGGTCATGTGAAGGGATTTAGAAAAGCTTCTCAACGCTCATGATGAGGCGTCCACGGGGCCAAAGTATCGCGAGTGCAAGTGGGCGACTGTGTTTGACGCCATGTTCCAGGCGCGGACCAAGTATGAAGGCGATGGACATGCAGCCAGACGAGATGCGGCTCTATTTGGTCTTAACCTGGCGTCAGAGGTTGTGGAAGCGATTCCTGAAGATTGGGGACTGGGGGTTTTAAGAGGCGGAATGGCCTTGCTGCTCAAGGTACATATTACAAACAACTCTCAGACATGTCCAACTATGCGTGGAGATGCTCATGATTACAGGTAGCCAAGTGTAACTTGGAGATCAAAACAAAAATCCTCAAGCTTTTCCAGGATATATCGTGGAAAATGACAACGATCAGTATGGCCTTTGACAAACTTGGGGCTGAACAAGAGCAGCTCCAGCGACAGCGGGAGTTTTTCTGCACCGTCGTGCGGGATATGCCTGTTTTGATAAGGAGGCTCTTGGGCAAGGAAAAGTGTGAGTCCATCCACACAGAAAGTTGATGTCTCTTTTGAAGCTTGCCTCCATAACTATAAACTCAGGGTACGTCAAGGTCAAGCACAGTCTTCAACTTCAGCTCTCCGAAACAGATACCGCGGACATAATCCTCGAGCGCTGGAAAGCCAACATAACTGAGCTCAACGAACACATGGAGAGGTCAAAAATTGCATCAATGGGCGACATCAAGTCCAACGCGAATCTCCTTCCCGACATGCAATCCAGCATAGAAGCTTCGAAACAGTCGGTTGGCAAGCTAACCGACCAGATGACCGAGCTGCCTCAAGTCATGCAGCGAGCCTTGCAAGGGTTCTATGACAGGTTTGCCGAGACTCTGAGATCCAAGGATAGTGCTGCTCAGGCGCAGACTTTGCTTTTAGAGGAGATGCATGAGCGTTTGAGGGAGATGGAGGACGAGCGGCGATATCTTCGAGAACTAGAAAGGGGTGGGTGTCTTGTCGTTTGTATCTTGACTCGAGACGGCTTGAGCAGAGCTGACAAAAGGATATCTCGCAAGAAAACCGGCATCTCCGCGAGTTGTCAAGAAGTCCCCGACCAGGATGGCACTACGCAGCAAACACAAACACCAACACACGCAACACCACACCCGCAATCACGCACATGGAGCTCATCGGAGCCCTTGGCATACACGTATACGCACACATGAAAGTCTTGGAAGACGTGCTCCATCAATCATCCAACTTTGACGTGCCATCCCTCAGACAAGTGAGAGGCTTGATTCGGCACAGCGAGTTTGACCACTGGCTCAAGACGGAGTCGTCCTCGCTGCTTTTTGTCGAGTGTTTTCTGCAAGACTGCAGCCCGACTGTGACTGCGGCTTCAGTCTTCAGTTCCTCATTGATATGCACGCTCTCGACCCAAAGCGACGTAATCCCCCTTTTCTTCTTTGCTCGAGTCGATGGCAGCAGTCGACACCATGGCCCTACTTATATGATGAGGAGTCTCCTCTTTCAGCTGCTAATGAGCACAGCTCTACCGCACCTCGATCTGGGCTTCATCTCCATGGACCTGTTCGAGGCCTGCGCGCAGCAGAACCTATCTGCCCTGTGCGAGCTGTTTGTCGAGCTCGTGTGCCAAGTTCCTCCAAGCACAAAGGTGTGCTGCATCCTCGAAGGTCTCGAGTTGTACGAGACGCGGGAGTTTCTGTGGGACATACAGGTCGACTATATTGCCGACATGTTTGGGGCCTTGGCGTCCAGATTGGAAGAGGGAGAAGAGGGGGACGGGGCGGTGTTGAATGTTTTGATCATGATCCCGGATCGGAGTCGGAGGTTGTGTAAGAGGGTGTGGAGGAGAGAGAGCCCGTGGAGCTGCATTGAGCTGATGCGGGAGATGGAATTCGCCGACGGGTTTTGATATTTTGACTCGAAATTATGATTGAAGTGTAAGGTGTTATAAGGTAGTTAAAATCAAGAAGGCCACCTTCTCTCTACATGTACGCATACACGACCATCGCGCGCCACAGCTGTCTCTGGTCACGCCATAGGCCCTTGTAACATGGAATTCAGGCGTGTTGCATGGCACTGATAATTCTTTTTGGCCTCTATCATCATGATGTAGCAGGTGGAAGGCTTGTGGGACCCTTGATTTAAATAAATGAAGTCGACCATTACCAGAAACCCCCATGGCGCGCGTTGATAGTAAGACTCGCCCAGGTCTGTCCGCAAGCCCACGTACGCTGCCCCTGGGTGTAGAGCCGGACCTTGGCCTGTATCGGCTGTCCAGTGATCACCAGTCACGCCCAAATCCAATGCTGATATCCCTGGCGCCTATGTCATAACTCCTAAAGCCAACGGGAGGCCGTCAGACTTGTATACAAAATCATAATTCACCCGTAGCAAGCTAGCAGCATCTGTGATCCTTCAAAGAGAGCAGAGGCCCGAGTCCAGGGATTTGCTGCTTAGCCGAGCTCAGCAGTAATTGCACACGCAAGTGCTGGACCGAAAGAAAACGAGACAACTGAGGCCTGCTGAAGAAGAAGAAGAAGAGGGTGAGGCAAACAGGGGACTCCACTATGTCCAAGGGGCGTCTGGTGAGATAAAGCCCAGGCGAGAAAGAATTGCCCAGATCTCACAGTCACGACCAAGTGTAAGAAGCCATCGCAACATCCATAGAGGCCATAAACTCCGCCCGAAAATCCCATCACCGCAAGGATACGCACTTTATATGCTCAAAAATTCCGTCTCAAAACGAAGGACCTACCTCAACTACCGTGTCTTTGAGAACTGATTAGTGTGCGATTTTGTATTCTGCTGTAGGAGTGTACTCCATATAGCAAGCAAACTGCATCTCGGAGGCACAAACTCTCTGACTTCTGACACAGCTCACATCCCCCTGAAACACCAATCATTGCCTATCCGAATAGGAGCCCTAGTAAAAACAAGTCATGGGTAACAGAAGGTTTTCCTATATCAAAACTCAAAAGGTGCGATAGTACAAGACCAACTCATCATTCTTCACAAGACACCCCACGAACCACCAAACAATCAAACCAAACCCTTTGTAAATCCAATCATACGCTACAGCTACAGCTAGCTACACCTCAATCCATCCCCCCTCTAATTAATTTCAATACAACAAGTTCAACACCAAGGATGACAAGAGCATATATATACCTTACGCACGTATATATAAAAGGCAGGTATACATCACAGACATCTCCTTCTTTCTCTCCTCCCCAACACTCCAAATCTCCTTCTAGCAAACAAACACCCTCGACTTTCCTAAGCAGACATGGCCAACTTCTCCTAAACAAAATAGCAAATATTCCCCATGCGCCATGCAATGCTAGGCCCCTACTATACGAGCCCTTTCCCCCCTTTCCTCCTCTCCTTCTCCCTCCATTAGGTAAACAAAGTAAAAAAAAAAAAAAAAAAAGTCAGGTAACATGTGTTTGCAAATCCACGGCAACTTCTCCACCACCAGTATCACAACACAGGCCTCTGTAAGCCCCCTGTTTGCCGTCTGGCTTTCTCGCATGCGCTGCCCCAAAACAAAGGGAACAATAGTCGTCTAGATGCCGCTTGCTTCTTCGTGCGTCTCTCCTTTATAGTGTATACACCCATCCAGGAGCATCAGGGGAAAACGCCCTGCCGCCACCTCTCGACGCGATCCAAGCTCCCATTAGGATTCGACATGGGAATGCCCTGGTTGATGAGCCCGTTCGCGCCATACAAGTTGCCAGCGCCGTACATGCTCATCGTGTTCATCCCGCCCATCGGACCCATTCCGTTCGCAGCGCCATGGAACCCCGTCATCGTGCTATACGAGTGCTGCAGTCCCTGCGGCCTGCCGTATCCGGTCGGCGGCACCATCATCGTCGCTCGGTTCCCGGGGCCCGTGTTGGTGAAGCTTCGCGTCTGCAAGGTGTTGAGGGCCGTGCTCGACCGGGCGGCTTCGAGGCCGAGGCCGCCCGTTCCGTCATTGTACAGGCCGCCCTTGAAGCCTCCGGTGCGGGCGTTGCCCGGTTGGATGAGGGTCGTGGGCATCTGGGCTCGCACGGCCGCCATTCTGGCCTCCTGCTCGGCGATCCTCATCTGCTCCTGCTGCCGGCGTCTCTCTTCCGCAATGCGAGGGTTTTCGATATTCTGGTGCACCGAGAGCATGTCGGCCATGCTCACCCGGCGGGTCAACCCCTTTCCGGCCGGCTGGTTCGTCGGGTTGCCGTAGCTGACGGGTCTCTCGCCCGTCAGGTTTCCATAGCTCATCTCTCTCTCGCGAGCCTCCCGCTCGGCCTGCAGACGGCGACGGCGCTGGCCCAGCGTCTCGTCCTCGACAGCCAGATTGTTGGGCGACTTCTTGCCGCTGCTCTTGGTCTCGTTCTCATCGGGACCGCCAAACTGGCTCAGAAGCTCCATGGAAAAGGTGCTGCTGACGGGACGGGCCTTGGGCAGCTGGGATTCTGCCAGACGCTTCTTCCTGGCGGCCAGCGTCTCCTCCTCAATCTCGGGCGCAAGCGGTTCGGGGGCAATGGTGGTGCGTGCATCTTCGTCCGCCCCGACATCTGGCTCGACAATGCGCGGCGAGGGCGCCGGGGGCTGCACTTCGGCCATGCGCGTGGGGCCCAGGCTTAGTGCGCTCTGGCGCTTCGCGGTCACGGCGAGCGACGTCCGTCCCTTGAGACGGGCAGCACGGTGGCTCAGCGGTTCGTTTTCCTCCAGCTGGCGGACTTCCATCAGTCCCAGGGGACGTTCGACGTCGGCCATGTTCTTGGCTCCCTGGTGCAGGGCGGCGATGACGGCCAGCGGCACGTCTTCGTCGTCGGATATGTGGTGCTCTGCGGCCACGTTCGGATCTTCCCAGGCAAGGTTGACGCGGCTCTTCAGGCGTTGCTTGCGCTGCATCTCGGCGACGGCATCCATCTCGAGGAGGGTGGCGCGCAGGCCTTGAGGCGCCACGTTGCCATTGTTGAGGATTCGCTGCTTCTGCTGCTGCTTGCGGAGGTGTAATTCGCCGAGGAGCGTGGTGGGTACGCCGTCAAGGATGCCTTCCTCAAGCTGCTCTTCCTCTTCCTCTGATTCCTCCTCCTCCTCTGATTCCTCGTGGGCATCACCATGACCATCGCCCTGCGTGGCGGTGGGGTCTGGGTTGCTGCTGGCTTTGCCGCCGAGCAAGCTGCTATGGCTCCTCTTGGTGAGCAGCTTGATGGTGGACTTTTCTTTCGTCCCTGTCTCGGCAGTCGCGACATCCAGCTGCTGTGACTTGCGCTTGGTCTCCTTCTTCTTCTTCGTCTTCTTATTCTTCGGCTTGCCGTACACCTCTGAGCCCAGCTTGCCGGCATACGGGTGGTCGGTAAAGGCGCTGACGGGAGCAGTCGCCGAGGCATCGAGGATGCTCTCGAGCGTTGCCATGGCAGACCCATCCTTGATCTCAATCTCAGGGAGCTCAGACGGCTGCTCGAAGAAGACGCTGGCTCGGAGATGCGGGGGCAGGTCCAGGCCGGAAGTCGACTTGTGCTTGTCATTGTTCATCTTGGACAGCCGCTGGGGCCGGCGAAGATCCTCCAGGGAGGGCGGGTGGGCTTCGCTTGGTGCTTGCGCTGCGGCCTCCTCAAACCAGCCGGTGGGCGTGGTGGCATTGTCGACACCCTCGAGGTTGTCAGCCACCGACAGGGCGGCAAACGAGTTGCGGTGGCCGGACAGAGGGTCGGGCAGGGTAATCTTGTCCAGGTCGGGCACGATGGACTTTCTCTTGGGCTGCATCATGGCGTCCAGGAGCTGGGAGCGTCGCTGGTTGCGGTCGGCGGCCTTGGGCTTGTTGGACAGCTTGGGCGGCAGGTTGAGCATGGCAGGGACACGGGCTGGGTAGTATAGCATGTGCTGGCCGGTTTGCTGATCAAAGTAAGAGTGCGGCCTCGCGAACTCGGTCGCGGGGGGTTGGGGGGTGGGCAGGTGATCGTCATCGACGATAGGAGGTAGGGATACGGGTTGGGCGTGGGATTGGGATTGGGAATAAGATTGGGGCAGCTGGGGAGCAGCAGGAGGCTGCTGGTGCTGGTACAGGTCGGGAAGCCTCTCTCGCTTGTGCGAGGGCGCCCCCATGTCGACGGTAGAAGCGAAACGATCATCCTCGGTGTCCGTCTCGCAGTGGGCGCCGTCAAAATCGACAAAGGCATCCTGGGCGACCTGGAAGGTATTTGTAGAGTTGGCCGTCATGGGCCGGTCGTCGTCGTAAGCATCGCGGTGCTCGTGCTCATCGTAGTCGGAGCTCGAGGGCAGATCCGGGTTGACGAGGACCAGGTTGGAGGCCCGGTGGCTCCGGAAGCCGCCCTCGAGCATGTCGTGGAACTCGTCCGTGTGCGGCAGGCCGACGGCGTCCTGCTCGATGATGCTGCGGGCGTCGGCGGCGACGTGCTGCTCAGCCGGGGGCACGGCGTCGACCTGGTCCAGCACGTGCTGGTTGAGGGAGATTGGCTCGGACTCGGAGATCTCAGCCAGCGACGGCTTGGCGGAGCGCACGCTCCTGACGGAGCTCTTGCCCGGGCCGTGGCGGGACAGGATGGAGTTGATGGCGTCGTGCTCCGGGCGGCCGGCGGAGGCGTTGGAGCCGGAGCGCATGCGGCCGCTGATGGAGGAGGTGGGCGACATGACGCCGTAGGCGGGCGAGTAGCCCCTTTGCCGGGCGGCCGCGGCGGCGGACGAGGTCGAGTTGGAGTTGGAGGGATGGCGGCGCAGGCGCGTCGAGTTGGGGTTGTTGTGCTCGTCGGCGGAGGCGGCCCTGGCGGCGAGGATGGAGGATCGTCTGCTGTCGCTTCGCTTCAGTTCGCAGTGCAGCTCGCGGATGGCATCGTCGATGCTGCTGGTCATGGACAGGCGCTCGGCCGTGGCTTCGAGGTGGGCGACGTTGCTGACGGCGGACGCGGAGCGCGTGAGCAGGTCGGCGTGGTGGGTGAGCCTCGACGGCGACGAGACGTCGGTTGCAATGTGCAGGATGGGCTTGGGATGGGCCAGCTTGGTGCCCGGCTGCACGCTGCCCGTGTGCAATGGCGCATCCTCGGGTGCAGGGATACGAGCGGTGGCACTGCTAGCAGCAGTAATAATAGCAGTATTACCGCTGCTGCCATTAGTAGCACCCAGCTTATTAGCATTACCCGTAATCGTCGCGATGTCCGAATCCCGGGGGCGCTCGTGTTGGCCTCCTCGCCTGGCGCGTGCGTTGGGGCTCTGCGCCAGGGGAGCGGAAATGACGCCTCTGGAGAGGTCATGGCCATGCTTGTTACTGTCGCCGGCGACGGACGACGCAGACGCCGCGACATTCGAGTCCAGGTTGCTGATGCTGGTGCTGGTGCTGGGCGACCACGGCAGCGGCGGTCCTGTGCGTGTGTCTGCGCCTGTGTTTGTCCCTGTGCTCTGTTCCCTCCAGGCTGTCTCATCCATCTGTTCCTGTTCCTGTTCCTGTTCCTGATCCCGTCTCTCGCGCCCTCGCCTTCTCTCCCGCTGCTGGTGTTCCCGTTCCTGTTCCTGTTCCTGTTCCTGTTCTTGCTGCTCTTGCAGCAATGTCCGCTCCCGGCGCATCCTCTCCGCCTCTGCAAGCATCGAATCTCCGGTTCTCGTGCCGGCCGACGCCGTGGGCGACATGGCCAGGTAGCGCTGGCGCAGTTCCGCAGCGCTCTCGGAGCCGGGGCTGGTGGGCGACGACGGCGACAGCATCTTCTTCTTGCCGCTGCTGGGCGCAGAGTCGACAAACAGGCTCAAGGGCGTGCTGACCCGGCCGGCGACGGACAGAAAGGTCGGCGACACGGGGCTCGTGGGAGTCGAGGGTGGCGACGAGGCAACGAGTCTGTCAGCGGCCTCTGTTGAATCGGCATTCCTATGGCTGGGCGAGGCCCCTGCTACTACTGTCGTCGCAGCAGCAGAAGCAGCAGCAGCTTCGGCGTCTGCTTCGGCGACTGGCATGGCGAGAGCAGCCGAGGGAATGCGGCCTCGTATTAGTATCTCGTTCCAAGAATGCCCTCCTTCTACCGCCTCGTATGTACTTGTTCCGCTACTCCCAACCAAAAAGGAACTGTCCCCCCCCCCGTTGCGTCTCTATCCGGGATGGTCAGGTGGGCGAGCTGGTGCGTATCGAAGCCTCTATCTCTCGATTGGGGGCGCGCGTGATGGCCGAGACATGAGCAGCCCGCCAAGGGTCTGGTCCTGGTTCTAGGCTCGCGACGGTGCTGTGATACGGTAGTTGTATTTGTATGTTGGTTGATTGTTGGACGACTGATAATAGCTGGTGAGGCTACTGGTGAGGCTACTGGCAGTGATCTGCAATTGACGTCTCTCGTGCCTTTCTGCTCTCTTCTTCGTCTATTCTTTCCGATTCCTCGTCCCTGAATTTTGCCGGTACCTCGTGCAGGGGTGCTCCAGAGAAGCAGCTTCTACTCGTATTGAGCCGAATACCGGGGATGCGAGGCTCTTCTGTAAGTGGAGGAGAGCCCATGCGAGAGTGCAGAAATGGAAAATGATAGGCGATGGGAGGGACAACGACAAATGAAGACGACCAGAGGCTGTAATAGAATCCGTCAACCAGCAGAGCCCACGCGGAATGAGCTGCTTTGCTCCAGGTAGGCGAGTGGCTGAGCTGGCTGGGAAAACTTGGAAAAGAGTGAAAAGAAATAAAAACCGAGGGGGAGAGGGTAAAGAATGGAAAGCTTCCCGGCCCTGGATTCGGCGACAGGAAGCAAATACCTTAGTGGCCGAAGCGGCGTGGCCCGCTCCAGACGGTGATGCTAAGGTTCGAGTTGGGCGTGCATGTGCATGTGCAGGTGCGTGTGCATGAGGTACCTGATGTGTACGGACCAGCGAAACGAATGAAACGAAACTGGAGGTTGCAACTTGAAAGTTCTCGACTCGAGCCTCTCTCAACTCTTATTTCCTTATTTTCCTTTGATTTTGACGGCACTGGCTGGACTGGACGTTCTCTTGGTCTGTCTTAGTGGCGGATAACGGCCTGCGCGCTAGCGATGGCAGGATTTCAAGTTGATTGATTGCTGACCGCGGCTGATGCTGCTGATGATGCCGAATGCTGCTCATAAAGATGAAGACGAGACAAAGGCAGTGTTTGATGCGGCATTACTCGTTGCTTGCTAGGCACCTAAGCTACTGCCCGTCTCGAGGCGCGCAGGGACTGGCGAGACGTGGAGTTCTCAGTTGCGTACATTCAATGTTGTATGCTCCCTGTGCTATCAAGCCCGGATGCGAGAAGCCGCTACAGCACAAGGGCGTGTGGCAGCCAAGATGCCAGAGCGATGGATATCGCAGCCGAGCCACACGACCAAAAAGACGCCAGGATTCAGCTGTGATAAGGGGGAACAAAGAGAAAGCCATCCCAAGACGATGGAGAGTCCGAAAGCAGCCCAGCCGTCCGCGCCTCTTCTCCTCACCCCATCTCGTCCCATCTCATCTCATCTTCACTTCCTCCCCTCTTCCTCTCGTGTCACACTCCATTCAAGTACCTCCTCCGTACTTTGTCCTCTATCCAACAGCATCGATTCGACTAGCATCTGATCAAAAGTGCCCGTCGCACCACATCAAACCACAGCACAGCTGACAGGCCCTGCGACCGCCTCGGCGGCCCAGCAACGCCGTTTGCCTCCTTGGAGACGATCTGGATCCCGGCTAGTACGAGTACATGCAAGCAGCTGGCGGAGCTGTGTTGGACAAAAGCAGCTGCATCTTGTTCTGCTCCCGCCTAGTCAGTGACTTGTTTTTTAACTTTGCAAGAGCTGTCTGCCCGGCAAGCATTCATTGGCCTTGTCTCGAAGCTGCTGCTCCTTCTTATTTCCCTCGTGTCACCACCGCATACTGCACTTGCAATGGCTTCATCCCAAATCCTGCTCTGCTAAACGTCTCTCTTCCACTCATGTCTTGAGATTTCATCCCAGATCTCAATCAATTCAGCCACTAGTACAGTAGCAATACTAGTAGTGCTCCTTGTCCTCCATGCTCAGCTGAGAGCCCTTGCTTTAGCAGCTTGGCACCATGTCATACTGATGGCATCAGGACGAGGCCTCGAAGCTATTCACGGCATCTGGCCTTGCCGATCTCCCCAAGCTCCTTGGCTTCTCGGTCTGTTTGCCGCTTTGCGCCCAGACTTTTTCTCGGCACGTCCCATGCAAGGACCCGTGGCTCCTGTCCCGCCATCACCAAGCCCGTGGCACACCGTCCAACACTGCATTCTCAGCAGAAGTCAACAGCTTTCATGCTTGCTTGCTACGACCGTACATACATACATACATACACATACTATCCCACCTGTAAACCAATCAAGCAGTCCCTGAATACAAGCAGCCATCACGCGAGCAGCAACATAATCATTCTGAAACCCACCAACTGCTGCGTGTAAGCCCTTTCTCCCGCCGTGGCATCTTTGCCCTGTAGGTACCTGCTTTGTGCCGCCGTTCCCTCTCGCCCTATCAGACTGGAGGCTCTTTTGTATGTCTCGGACGCGCAGCTTCACCGGATGCATGAACCGGGTTCCTCATGTGCCACCTCTCAAGGCACGCATCTTGCTTTGTGCGACAACCGCCTGCATGGCACCAATTTCCCAGGAGCCGAGACTCTCATCTTACTCTTGTGTTTGTGCTCTCCTGTGTTAGTATAGCCAACTGAACGCCTTTCTCTTTCATCTCTCTCTCTTTCTACTATCTCCTCCTCCCCTCATTGAACAACCTCACGATCCATTTCATCGCCCCCATCAAGCATCCACAAAGTCTCGGCATCAGCACCTTAGCGTATCCACCAGCATAGTGTATGTTTCCCAAGAGTTCCATCCAAACGCGCCGTTAGCCCACATCTTCGGGATACGATACGGTGCCACAGCACGCTCTCAGGCACAGACTCCGCACTCAGACAACAAGAGCCACCACTTTCGTGAGGAGCTCTCTGGCGGGCAACATGCTAACAGGGCGGCCCCCCCCCCCCCCTGCAGCCACTGCCAAGTTTTCCTTCTTTTCTCCCCCTTGCCAGACGCACGCGGCAGGGGCAAAAAAGCTCTTTGCGAGGGGCAGCAGCCCGATTGGCTGGACCGGGAAACAAGAGGCACCACTGGCAGCACTCGCCGATACATGTATGCTGCGAACAAAGAAGATGCTGAGAAGTGCAGATATAGTAGAGAAGAGTGCTAGCAAATCGCACTGGACAAGATAGGTACCTACGAAAATAGGGGGAGGAGAGAGTGTGGATTACTTAATGAAGGGTAATAGAAAGGCAATTGGCAGAGTGCAGGTGCAGATTCTCTGTTCCGAGTGTTGTCTATCTGTTGTCTCTCTTTCTGTGCAAGACATGCCCTCGATCGCGCGTATCTGCCGATCAACCTTGAGCCTCCTGCAGCCCAGCCGGAGCAAAACCAGAAGAGGTACAGTAAATAACCGCCAGTCTCTAAGCACGCATGCACGTTATCTGCAAGGAGTTGATCTCGTGGACAAACGGCCAAGCCTCTTTCCATGCACAGAACTTGGTTTTCAAGCCAGGCAATGAATCGATGAGCACTTCACTTTGTAGAAACCAAGCCCCTGATTCTGCATACCGCAAACAGCATTCCTATGCCACGTAGCAACTGGGCTCATTAAACTTTTTCGTTGTCTCGGCTTGTGCGCAAGTACTAACAGCTGACTGCTTGCGGGCCTATGGTGTCGTGGCTCAGAGGATGTTTTATGATGGGATACCATTCTTGTTAATAATGTTCTGTTTATGTGTTGGTGGTAGTATGATGGAGAGATATTGCAACTTCCGTAAACATCGCGGCAATAGAATACTTTCACGAGCTAGTGTACATAAAACAACATTGAGCAAGTTCAAACACGCCATGTACATGTATACATGTACATACCGCCTTTGATCTACCGCACCAACACGATCATCATGTAAATCGCCAACTCAATATTGGCCACTAACTACAGGGTAAGCCAATATCTCGCGCACACCAGCCGTGATGCTATTCGCACTACTACTAGGTAGCAACCAACCAACCTGGCATCAGTTCCTCGTTGCCATCTCCAATGTGGGTTTATTAACACGCCGTGCCTACAACTACATTACCCAAGCGCTAAGAGCGCCAGCACGCCCCCATTCGTGACTCTCATCTCAAAAGCGGTGTGCTGAATAAGACTTTCAACAACATGCAGCTACCAGTTGCGGAGAGAACATGGTGCTTGCCGTTGAGAGCCGCGATAGTATGTACAGAGTCAGGCGAACAAGGCGCGTGCTGTATGCACAGATCCAGGTACAGCGGGCGTTGGCAGCCGAATAGCTTGTCATGAACCTTGCACGCCAGCATCTCGGTTGAGCAGTTGCTGGCCTGAATTCAAGGTACTACCTAGTAGTAGAAGCTGAGCCGAGCCGAGCGGGTAAAGAGGAACAGCTGCAGCTGGAGCCGTTCCCCGTGCTTGGCTGTATCCTGCACGTGTCCTTGCTCGACGACGTCCCCCAGCTCGAAAATAGGAGAAGCAGGACTCTATCGATTCGGTACATTACTCGAGACAAAAAAGCGGCACATACGAGTATTGCAAGTTACAGGAGAAATCGAACACACTTCTAGCACTTCATACAAGACGGTGCAATTTCAGTAATATGGGTTCGAATCGTAAAAAATAGAAACACACGACGTAATACGGCAACGAAGAAGAAAAAATGGCTTCTACGGAATGTCATCGCCTACTAACACGCCGTTATGGAGTCGCACGGCCGGCCTCGTTCTCCCATCTCCATCAGCCTCACATCTGCGGGAGCACTTGTAACAATCTGCCTCTACAAAGAGCACAATCCGGCGAATTTGGCGTGTAAACCTCGGCTCCAGCGGACAATCTTGTCATGAACAAGACAAAAATAGCTCAAAGATCATCTCGGATCTGCTTAGGCATCTATAAAAAGCGCGCTTCCTCGAGTCAATTCGAAAGAACTTACTGTACGGAGCACCTCATCTTCGCCGGCTCCGTAACTGTGAAATTGTGGCAATCTTAGATCCCTTCTCCAGCCCTTCCCCATCGTGGCGCAGTTTGATGTGGTTTTCTCCCCTGGATCTAAGCCAGCCAGGCACCGCAATTGTCGGTTTTCGATGGGCCAGCCATGATTTCTCTAGAGCGGTGCTAAAGTTCTCTAGCAATCCCGGTTTCCGTGTTGAGCGAGATGGTTTGGCTGGAGAGAGGCTAATGACATAACTGCTCGTTCCGTCATCGGCCGCAAACAAAGTCGTTGGCGCTATCAATTGAGGCGCTTGGGGCTTCGCACGGCAACCTGATATCGTGGGCACGATGTACTCGTACGAGTACGAACTACTGCAAGCTTATCAAGAATAGGAAACGCAACGAATGCGTTGCTTTCAGGTGATTACCGTCGGCAAAGCAACTCCCGGCAAAAAGGAAGCAAAAATCAAAAAAGAAGAAAAGAATGTCGGTGAAGTCGCATCGTGTAAAAAGGAGCCTAAGAGACAAGTCCATGTCCCAGCACCAGGAAGCCGGAAAGAATCCGTGAGCCCTAGCGCTTGGAGACGGAGCCCGCACAAGGGGGTTTGGCGAGATTCGAACTGTTCTGGAAGGGCAGCCGACGAGGATGAAAGGATGAGTACGAAGTACCTACCTTACATGTAGGACTTCGTGTCTAAGGTACAACTTGAAGATGCCGGATGCGGTATTATCGAACGTGCTTATCGCGAGTCTGCGCCTTCGGCTCATGAGTTTGTGTTGCATCGTGTTTACAGTCAATGACAGCGGAATTACACCCATTCCATCCAGACAAGTCCATGATGCCGAGAAGCATCAACGACGATGGCCACGTTAGGCCATTAATGTCCGGCATTACCTAACAGCAAAGCATCCCAAAGAGGAAGAAAAAGGGAAAAGGAGCATGAAAAGAAGAAGAAGAAAAAAAGGGACAAGAGAAAACGTGGTAGCCCGCCGGTAGCCACGCGGGGGATGCGCGAGCGAGTGAAGTGAATGGCTGGATGAATCCAATCGGATCCGACTCTCATGACCAGCAGCCGCCGGCGACGATTGGCCGGCAATGTGCATCGTGGGCTCGAGCCGGTGAGTGCGAGAGACAAGAAAGGAGGGGCAAATTTTGGGGAAAACCTGTCTTCCATGGCTCTCTTGCTTGCTTCAATTGCCTGCTTGATGGCTTGTGAATGGATACTTGATTGCTCCAGTTCAGAAGGGTCCAGGTCCACCGGGTCCAGGGCAGGTCCAGGTACAGACACCGTGCCGAGGCCCGGGCGGCAGACTGTGGGCTTGTCCGGCATGCGCATCCTTTCCCCTGCTGCAGAGGCCCGGCTGGTACGGGGGGCGTTGCTGAGTGGCATGCAGCACGTGTGCATTCAGAGTTTTTTTTCGCCGCAGGAGTCAAAGTGTCAATCCGGGTTTCCGTGACAAAGAGGATGAATTGCGACACTGGGCTTCTTAATTGCGCAGTGGGTGCTGCGATATTAATTGCAGGTTGAAGCTGCTCGTAAGTGGTCGCAGAGGTTGAGAGTGGAAGCTCTCTCCAGCAGCTCCAGCACCTCAGGGGCCCTACACTGCCGACGATAGCCCCCCTAATGGTCCCTGGGCCTACAGAAACGCCCCAGAAAACCCCCCCCCCCTTAAGTGCGTAGCCGTCACCTGAGACGGTGCGGACGGGTGAGATCAGCCAGCGGCGTACTGTGCGGGCACTTTGGCCACGCAAGGGTCCAGTCGTGGCCAACGCTTGTGCCCTCGATTGACTTATCGTGAGAAAACGAACGGGCGACTGACTGAGGGAGCTGCGGTGCCGGCAGCACCAGCTCGCACCAGCACCAGCTTCGGCTACAAGCATCAGATCAGCACCACTTCCCATCGCATCCGACGCCCCCCGCATCGCCTGTGACTGCGACCTGATCGCCCTCAGTTTGCTGCTGCTGCTGCTCGTCCAAGCATCCACCTGTCCAGGCCCCGTCCGAACTGCTTGGGGGATCCTCGAGTCGAGCGCGCAAAAAGCCCTGGGGCACGGCTCGCTGCATCTGCATCTGCATCCGCAGTCCGCCGTCCAATCCCTGCCCAATCCAGACGTCCAGAATCCGAACCGTCGGCCATCCATACATAAGCCCATAAGCCGGAAGACGGAGGGAGGCGACTCGCAGCAGAGAGCGCGATAGCTGCACCATCCAGCCCCGCCGGCACCGCCTGAAAGCCCATACGGGTGCATGCCCGCCTTGCCTTGTGCGTTGCTCGTACATACGGCGACACCCATCCCGCATATCACATACCGCATACGAGGCACCAAGACGACACACTCGCGCCACCTCGTGTGCCCAGCTATCTATACCTTTACCGCCTCGACCGACACCAGCTTTCTCCTGCAGCCGCATGTCCTGTTCCCAACGGCTTGTCCCTTCACCCTTCAGGACCTTCCAGCAAGGCTCCTACTGCCGGAGTCCCCAAGCCTCAAGCCCTGGGACGGAAGCGACATCGTCTTGAGAAGCTCGTCACCGTTTTCCTCTCACTTCTCAGCTCTCAATTACCAAATTCCCCGCGGCTGATCGCCACCCGCATACGAGCACTTTACACAAACACTATACCTACAGAGCAGCCATGGCAGATACGGGGCCACCGCGACGGCGCTTCGTCCCCGTCCCGATCGAGACGACGTTTCAATCCTACCGCAAGAATGTCTACGATTATACGTCGCACCAGAGGATAGGGCCCAACCCGGAGCTGACCCCGGAGCCCTCACCTCGATCTCCCGAGGCGCAATTCCCGCCGGAGATGCACGACCGCGAGACGTCGCAAGAGAGGCGACGCTTTGCTCCCCAGCTCATCGAGACGTCCAGACGAGTTAGGAGAGTCGGCGACCCTGGGCCGGCCACTCGACCCACGGACAAGACAGACATCACTCCCTACACAAATCACATTTACTCGGCGAAGCCAAAGGCGAGCCGTCGGCAGCTGGGCCCGGCCGGCGACGACGAGCCGCAGCGCAATGTATCACGCCCATTCCCGCCCACCCGGCGCGAGACGGAGGAGGAGGGTGTGCAGGAGTACCTCTTGGACCTGGCGGCTAAACAAGTCGCACGGCAGATTGAAGAGGTTGCCCTCGCCGCGTTCCCCAACAGCCGCCCCCGCGAGGGTGGTGTGGCTCACTTCTACTTCCGCGAGAGCTCGACTGACAGCGGCAGCTCGCCCGAGGCCAGCCCCCGGGACGAAGAGGCCGGCCAGTACCGGTTCCGGCGCAAGTCGTCCAACCTGGGGCTCAACTGGTGGCATAAGCACATGCAGGAGCATGCGGCGCGGCTGGAGCAGGACCGAGGGGACGGCATGGACGTGGACAACGAGGAGGCAGTGGTGATGCAGGATGATCTTGATGCTGCTGCTGCCGCCGCCGCCGCTGCCGCTGGCGGTGCTGCCTCTGCCGCGTCTGCTGCCTCCCCGCTGGCCATTGCCGGTCCCGGTCCCGGTCCCAGTGCCGCTGCCGACAGCCCTCTTATCCGATCCGAC